ACTGCACCTGGGGGGGGGGGGGGGGGGGGGGCGGGGGCCGGGGGGGACGGGGCCCGGGGGGGCGGGGGGGGGGGGGCGGGGGCTGATGAATGGGACAAACTGACACCATCTTCTCCCCCCACACACAGGTGAGCCGCGTGCTGCGCCCGGGCGGCCGCTTCCTCTCCATCACCTTCGCGCAGCCCCATTTCCGCGCCCCTCACTACGCACAGGAGGCCTTCGGCTGGTCCTTGCGGCACGCCGCCTGCGGGGATGCCTTCCACTACTTTGTCTACATCATGTGCAAGGGGCAGCCCCTGGCTCCCTCTGACCTGGCCCTGGGCAGGCAGCTGGGGCGGCCCCCCCCAGCCCCACCACCCCCTATCACCATGGCAGAGGATGAGGATGAAGACTTCCTCCGCGCCATCGAACTGTGACCCCACGGCGTCACCTTTCTGTGCCTTTCTTTTTGGGTGTGGGACTCCAGCTCCCCATCCCAGCCGTATGGGAAGGGGGGGCAGCGGGGCCGTGTGCTGCCCAATGCTTTGTGCCCCCCCCTCCCCCGGATTGCAGCCAGGGTGCTGGAAATGAGACTGCGGCGGGTTTAATTCCAACCCCCTCAGTGCTGCTGTGACACAGTGCCAGGCCTTGGGGGGGGGGGGGAAGGGGAGGATGTGACCCTGCCATGCTGTCCCCTGCAGTCTGGGGACACCCCTGTGCCAGGGGAGGTGACACACAGACCAGGGTAGGTGACACTTGCCATCAGGCACAGGGCGCCTGCGACGCACAGCAGGCAGGTGACACAGTGGCTGAAAGGGGTGTCCCAGGCCCAGGGCTCTGCCATCATGGTGTAAGTGGGTCAGCAGGGCCCCCCCGGAGCCAGGGGGTGGTGGGGGGGGGGGGGAGGGAGGGAGGAGCAGACGGCAGCAATACAGGGATGTATTTTATTCATCGCATTTTGTTCACCGTACAGTGACAAATGGCGTTGGACGTTACAATGGACCGTTGGTAGAACACGATGGCGCGCGGATCGCTCCTCTTCCTCCTTTATTTTGTGTGTGTCTGTGTGGTTGCCTTTTTTTTTTCTCTTTTTTCTTTTTTTTTTTTCCTTTTTTTTTTTTGTTTTTTGGCGTTGTTGTTGTCCCCCATAAACGCGACCGAAAAGAGGATGACGGCTTTTCTCATGCATATCCCCCCTCATCCCCA